TGGATCAGTCTTGGCTTGCTCGAGAGAAGTGAGGGCTGCTCCTTTGCGCGGTGAGCATTTGGGTATTTTGGATTGAAGCTGCCAGTCCGTTCCTGAGAATTGCAAGGCATTCTATCATCTGTGCTTCAGAGTCGTTTTCCAACTTTCTGTACGGTTAAGACTTTTCCAAAGTGCCCTACGAAAGGTTCTTCCGGACTTCCAGGTCTGCTGTCCATCAGAGCCACTTGGACTCGGGGTTGGCATGGGCCGGTCAACTAGCTTCGCAAAATGTGCTGCGTGACTCAGAGCTGAGCAAACAAATGAAGAAGTGTCAAACCTTTGTGCATGCCTAATCTTGTCATTCCCCTCTGTCGAATTAGTCGACCATCTTTACAAAAGAAGCCTCCGAGGCTCTAAGTGCTTCGAAGGATCCCTGCACTGCACAGTGAGGTTCACGCCTGTGAGCTCGCAACAGCTCCTTGCACAGCGGATGCCCAGGCTTCCAGAAGTTGGCCAGCTGGAGCCCATTGCCAAGCATGAAAGAAATTGAAAGAACATTGATGCGGTGAGAGAAGCTACGGATTCGAACCATGTAGCAAGTTGCAAGACCTGACTTTCTATTTGCAAGGACAGAACGCCAGCGCTGCGAAGCAGTCCTTCCACTGAGTGATACAAGTAGTGCCGATGCGGGGTCGATTGAAAGTTAGGAGGTTGCCGCTGCAAGCTCCAAAAAATGAGGCCCACCTAAACTGCTGAGATGCTTGAAAGAGCTAAGCAGCCAAGGCTTCTGGATCAGGGCTGGCTGGAGCAAGAGCGCTCGCGCAACTCACAGTTCGTGGTTTGGATTTCGTCCAAGCTGCCTGGACCAACTCTCAGCAATGCTTCTTATGCTTTCGCAATCTGGTGCCTATCTCATGATGCCCTTATGGTCCAGACCTTTCGTCCAAAGCAGCAGCAACATCCGCTCAACTCCGGCACCTGTCAAGGCGTGGTGTGCTTGTGCAGCTCTTCTGCGTCGGGGCACCCCGGCTTCTGCGATCTTTCTTGAGAAAATCGAAGTGCATGCGTCCACGGCTTCAATTACCCGATTACCTTGTTGGATGCCCTGAAAAATTCCTTCAAATCAGATTCACATCCCTTCCAAGCCAAAAGCCAGCAGAACACCGGACTGAACGTTAAGGGGTGCACGACCTGCTGGAAGCTTTTTTCAACGCACAGCATATGTTATGGTTGATGTGCTTGATGCATCTTTCAACAATCCCGTGTTTCCATGCTGATACTCAGATCTTTGTCTTCTTTGACTCGGCCAGGACGATTGTGTGCCTTGGAGGGATGTAAAGCCATCGGCCCATTTCTAAAAGCCTTGCCAATCTCTGCAACGCAGCTTGACATGACATGCTTTTCTCAACAGCAGGTAGTAATTGAGCGCTTGATGCCAGTTTATTGTATCTTTGAATGGAGGCGCTAAAGCCCAAAGAAATGCACATGTGAGGCTCGCTGCAGAAAAGCTTTGCATTGGCTTCCTCTCTTGCCCCAGGAATGATCAGTTTATCCGCAGTGCTCCCATCGTCTCGCAGTCGATCACCTTTGCGCAATTTGGGGCCTCTGTTGCAGTCACGTGGGCTGCACGGAGGCGTTGGACTTTTAGGTCGGGGCTTTCCTGAGGCAGCGTGCTTTTTGCGACGCAGTTGTTTTTGGATACCTCAAGTCGCTCAAGAGCGACTCGCCTTGTAGGACCTCGGTATCTTCACAGGCCTGAACGCCGCGAACGCCTGAGCCCTCTAAGGTTGGCCTTTTGGTGTCCGGTGTGGTAGATGGCCGCCGCGGGCTGCGTGAGGCCTTGGCTTGGAAGGTGCCGGGCTTGTCCGTTTGACGTTGTAGTTTGCAGTTTGGGGGCTTCTGCACACTGAAGATTGGAGCTGAGGCATTTGCAGCATGGGTCTGGCTGGTTTGGTATTGAAGGATCTTTAGCTGCTGCTCTTGTTCTTCTCACAAGAGTGCTTGAGGTCTGCACCAGCAGATCCGATGTTTTGAAGTTTTATTGCCTCAGTTCATTGGTGCACAGCGGTATCTGGTGCTTAGAGAAGTGATACTTGTAGCACCGACAAGTTCTCAAACTTGACAAAGGACCCTCCAAGGCGGATTATGAACAACAAAAGCTGATCAGGGACTGGAGGTGTCCTTGCGGCTGCACCCCCCTGGCACTTTTTGGTTGTCTTCAGCACAGTAGGTAGCTTCATCCTGAGCCACATCCCTCACCCTCTCCGAGGATTTAAGCTCTTGCTCATTCCCTGCACTCTGTAAAGGTCTCGTATTGTCCGCAGTTTGTGTGCCACGACAGGAATACCCTGTATCAAGTATTGTTGCAACAATCGGAGTTTTACAGGCCAAGAATGGAACATAAATAGGTTGGCAATCAGCGGTCGATGTCTTGGCTGAAGACGTTCTTTAAACACCAGCCCTGGCAAACTGCAAAGCTGCACGTGACATCTCTGAGGATGTCCTTCGGTGCTTTCCAGTGGCCGCGTGCTTCTCCTTGAGCCAGACCTTCACCATCATGGCCTACAGTGCTGGGGCACACCTGGCTTTTGATCAACTTGGTGCAGCTTACAGCAGTGTTTTCCGAAACAGGTACAGGTACTGCTTCCGGAGTCTTGTGAGCAGTGTGCCTGACTAAGCTATGCGCACCAACTCTGAGGAGATCTGATAGTATCTGCAAGTTGCCTGGCTTTTGAGGTTGCCACGCTTGCTTTGAATGCAGCTCTCTTGGCAGGTCAGCGGGATGGAGAACACGGCCTCGCGTTCAAATGGGAACATTTCTTGCAGATTCTTCCTTGGCTCATAATTGAAATTCGAACGCAGATTCGCATGATGTGCTTGAGTTTTCGGTGGGGCTGCGTTCAGAGCCAGATTCTTTGGGGCAGGCAGAAGGGAGATCCCATTGTGGTTGAATGTTGGATCTCATGCGCCTCAAGTATGATGAGTCCCGAGCATGTTCCAACTGCCATCTATGGCCCTCATGAGCCCTCATGCATTCTCCACATCACGGGGCATTTTTACAGTTTACAAAGTATTGGGAAGCTATTTCGGCACCAGGTTGTGGGCAACCTATACCTGCCGCTAAGCGCCCTGCTGAGCCGATGGATTTTTCGCCGATCCTACAGACCCTTGGCCTTGATGAAGCTGCTGTGTTGACTCTCTGTTGGTTTTGTAGAGCTTTTGCCCGCAGGCCGGAGACTGCCCTTTGCGAGCTCAGCAGACTAATATAGGGTCTTGCTGCGGCATCCCGAAATGATCAAGGGGATGGCATCGACCACAGCTTTGTGTTGATCATCCCGCACGAAAGATGAAACATCATGACTGTAGGCAGTAGGCGACAGGTCTGAAGGCTTTTCCATCTCCAGGACTTCCAGTTGCTTCCAGTGCTCTGATTCGGCCAAGCTTTCCCTTGCCAGGTTTCCTGGAGTGGATCGCACTTACCGTGCCCTGGCCGCCCGTGAACGTGAAGACTTGTAGGCAACAGCTTAGGCCCTCAACTGAGCTGTAAACGCTACAAGCTGGGGGGTAAAGAAAGCGTGCAGGATTTGACTCCTCGAGAGGCCACCGCAGTTTTGCAGTAATAGCTATGAGCCCATATTATATCCTTAGGTCCTTGTCCGCTCCAGCATAGGTATCTGCATGCAAACGGCGCTTGCCTCTAATCTTCATAGTACGTGTTTTGCACACGAAGCTTTCGCCTCAAGTCGCAAGAGCTACAGGCCCTGATGCTCAGTGCCAGCGTGTTCGTCCTGCTTCAGCAGTCTCCATCAGGCAGGAAGTCTTCAAGATAATGGAGCTGAGGGCAGGAGAGTTCTGATTGAGGGATGGGATCTTGGATTCGTTCCGCAGTCTGTGCCTCAAGTCAAGTCAATTTGGTTGAGATGAGCTTAATGCTTGGCAGAGTTTGGTAGGCCAAGGCACGCAAGCAAAGTTCCATGTCGCAGGTCAAGTGTCATCTCACATCTTCTCCACGGGCATTCTCTTTGTGATCCTCTCTGTTCCAGGGCAGCGATGTGAGGTGTTAAGCTTACAGCCCGAGGCAAGACCTATTGTGGAGATACTTCAGCTACTGTGCTTTCCAATTCTTGGGGATATACAGGCACGGCAGACAGGCTTTCTCAACATCATCTTTTTTTCATTCTCAATAGGCAATTCTGTTTCAATTCCCATGTGCAGATGCCTCACGTCCCGAGGGGGCCCCTTTCTTGAGAAACTTCCAGATGGGTTCAAGAAGGTTCGGAGCCATGAAGTTGCTGAAGACCGGCAAGTTGTCAACTTTTTGCTCGCCTTCGTCCCACCCTCCACATTTTGGTGCAAGTTTTGAATTACATCGTTTCAGGGCAAGTCTTTAGCTTCTTTATTGGGTGATATCTAATAGCTTTTGCACAAGCCGGGGCTACGCGTTTCTCGTGCAAGTATTGAATTTGAGGCCCCGTGGAGGGGGAACAGCGGTGCAGTACCTGGGAAGAGTGATGCACTTTGGGCTTGTCTGCTTTCAGAGGGCAATTTGGATTTGCCTGCATTCCGGCTAGGCTTGCCTAGTTTTCCACGCAAGATTTGAAAGGGAAGGCAAGCAGCGGCGGGGGCTCCCGCCTGGAGTTTTCAGTTCTCGGGGGCAGCTCGCTGCCTGCCCCGGTCGCCACGCTTCCTTCTGTGCTTCACTGTGAACATCTATCTGTGCATGTTTGTGCATTCTCCGCCTACTAACCCATGAAGAGCTACGACGAGGTTACCATGCATAGAAGCTGGAGGCTGCAGGACGTGCATATGGCCTTAGCAAGATCCGTGAAGATATGCGTTGCAACCTCCTTATGGCAAGGTCAGAAGGTGTTGCCAAGGTGGGTGGGCGTCGGGCCGTGGGTTATAGCTGTAAGATGCAAGTTCAAGTTGTCCACTTCAAAAAACATGTTGTGCTTTGCAGTGGTCATCAAGCAGACATGTAGGGTTGTGAAAGCAAGGTCTGCATGTCGTGCTTGGCCAGCATGCTGTCTGAGAAGATCATGAAGGCTGTGGCTGAGTCGGGAAGGTGTGGAGTATCAGTGCAGACTTGAATGCATTGATGTTTGGGCCGGGATTTGGTTTGTAAGGTGCTGAAGGGAATTCGAAGTGAAGCACAAAAAGCCAAGTGGCAGAGGTTGACAATGACAACGCGCCCTGACAGGCCGGCAGCAGCCCCTTCTATATCCAAAAGGTGAATCTGGATATTGGCAGCTTTCTGACGTCGGCACTTCGGGCTGAAGTATTCGGGAGTTGTAGTTTCAATCTTCAAGCAAACCTGAGAGGCGGGTTGTATTTGGGGCCTGTGTCTGGCAGTTGCAAAATGTTGATTGCCGCTTTCAACAATATTTTTCTGCAGATACTTCACATGTCTCCTCGCTTGCAATTTCTCAGATCGTCATGCTCTTCGTTTGTGGGATGGCTAGCCAGCGGCCCAACGACGCTTTCTGGAAGACGCGGGACGTCGATGGGAGGAGCCCGTGCCCCCTTGAGTGACAGTCTAGGCTTGTCATCCACAGGTGTTGGAGAGCAGTTTTTGCCCGGCAGCTGTCTCGTCGCCCTCGGACACTACTTCTAGTAGACGGTCTGTTTTTCGCCCCATGTGTTTTATAGAGCGTTGCAGGCTTTTCGTTTTCCCTTACAAGCCCTTTTGTTGGAGTGCTTTTTGCAGCCTTCTGCTCTGAACGGCCCGTGTTAGTGTAGCCTGTACTACGTCCTGGTGTTCGGGCATTCCCGTATTTGCCATGTCTTGCAACGTTCTGCATCATGTTGGTTTTTGCTCTCCGGCAATTGCTGGCCACATTTGCGGTCCTGAACTTTGGCATGCCTGAGATGTACTGCCTTGTTTCTTTGCTACCGCTGCTTGATGAGCGGCAAACATGGTCATGACGTTTGGTCATTCCGTTGGCAGGTGCAGAGATGTGTGCTGCTGCCGAGATGTATGTTGCTGCCGGGATGTATGTTGCTGCCCTGAAAATCCGGCTTGGTCGCGGGAAGATAATCAATGGCCCTTTGAGAGCAAGAACTGTGTTGACGCCGGACAGGGCTTGCAGCGTTGTGTAAGGTGCGTGGGTCATAAGAAATGCCATGGTTTCTTGCTGGCATGCCAAAAAGGAACACATCACAACTCTGAGAGACGTCGGTCGCACTGCTTAAAAGGCTGTATGAACTTGTTGCTGCATCCATACAGAGCCAGACAAGTAGGCCCATGTTGCTGGAGCATATATCTGTACCAAGGCAGCAGATAAGCAGGCTTATGTACAAGAGCATCCGAGCTTGTCCCGGCGATGGCATGTCCTTTCTTCCAAAGCATGCATGCTATTTGAGTATCACTTGTGGTTTGAGTTGATGAACGCGGCCTCGAGTGCTCCTGCACAGGGGCCGCAGTGCATAAACCCCGCCGCAAAACAAGACCCCCTACCTAAGCCGCGCCCTGCGGCGCCACCCCGCTGAAAGCCCAAACACCAAACCCAACCCTAACCCGCGCCCGAACCCCAGCAAGCAAAACAAGCCGCGGAGCTGCAGCAGTCGTCCCTTCACCTGGGCCAGGCCATCCAAGGCGCCTGGAAAGAACGTAATCAGGGACCACTGGATGGTCCTGCGAAAAGCTGGGGCACTCCCAGCTAAGATGCTGCCAGCCCGGCACAACAGGCGCCGCACAGAACGGGCAAGCCCGAACGTGGACCTCCTCATGCTTACCAGCATTCCTGCGAACCTTATCAAAGGCGGCCACCGAGTATGAGGCTCCCAGTTGTGCCAGAGCATCCATCTGGCCGAGCCGCTTGCGCCGCTTGCGCTGCCGCCTTTGTAGCCAGCAAGAGACAGCAACGGCAAGAGTAACAGGCGGAGTAATTAACAAGAGGAACAGGCATGATAAAGAACAGGACAACAATAAGCACATCATAGCAGAAACGGGAATGGTCGGAATAATAGTGGTGCATGACAGTGGTATAGTAGGGCCCACGAAGGCGAAACGGGCCCCTGACAATGCAGATGATGCTGACAATGCTGATGATGCTGATGCATCATCAGCATACTGGGAGGGCCATTTCTCCACTTGTTGGCAGTCCAAGCTTTTCTTGGCCCATGCCAATCAGCGCTCACAATGCTTTTCTTGGGGTCTGGGGGATCTCAAAAATGTGCTGGGGGAAGCAAAAAAGGCACGTATGTAATTCAAACTGCCTTTAGGGTTGCAAGACGGACCCCCAATTGTGCGATGATTTTTGCGTAACTCTCGCGTACAGGGCACGTATGCGTGCCCCGTACGCGAGCAGCATCGGCACAACTGGTGTCCATTTCGCCTTACAAAGCCCTCAGCCCCGCAAAGCCGCTTCTCAACGCCCCGGAAATTCATAGGCGCCACCGTAAAGCTCCTCACGTGGAAATAGGCCAACATAGACGCAAATCCCATAAAGCCTGCGCAAAGCCCGCAGAAAACCTGCGTAAAACCTGCGTAAAACCATCATAAGTCCTGGAACGCATCACAACTCCTGACAAAGTAGTCACGATTCTGACTTAAACCGGAGCCTTTTTGCTCATGCAGGGTGCCCTTTTTGCCTCTTTTGGGCCTTTTCT